TCCCAAAAGAGACCTAAACTGTGGGGCTCTCCCATGGACTATAGCTGGGAAAGAACCAAAATGCTGGCTGTCCTCTGGTGGGGCTGCATCTGTGTGAAATGGCCGGGCAATGCCAGAGGAGCTGCTGCCTTGGGACTGCCCAAAGGCCCCAGATTCTGCTTCTTTTATCCCTACCATTCCGAAGTCTTTGGTGCAGCAGAAGGAGCACAGAGTCCCCCATCCCACCCCGTTCCATGTAAGGGAGGTGGAAGATGGGGAGGGGACAAGGAGACTGTGGAGGCCCCAGGCTGTGGGCAGAGCAGAAAGGAGTCACATGGAGGGTCATATGTGGAGATCACATCCCTCCCATTAACTGCTGCCCCCCTACAGCCATACCTGTAAGAAATTGATTCAATTCAACTAATATAGAGTTAACATAGGATGTTTACAGATTCTACTATATTATATTCTCTATTAAGAAGTTTTATTTCCATAGATTATTTGGATTCTCTTAGGAATAATATTACTCCCCCATGTCTATGACCTAATCTGTCCTCTTTTATAGTTCATAGATAGCTGTTATTATATCACATTAGTTTTTTAATCCATTATGTTTCAGTAGGGTCTATTTCAAAATCTTCTTTGACTGCCAGTTTCCCCTGTTTGTGAACCCCACTGAATTCCTTGAAAAAGTACTACTTAAAGGGTTGCATAGTTGGGCCCCAACTAAATTCTATTTTAAAAAATATTTTACAAATGAAAACTCTTGGCACATATGATCTTAAATAATCTTCGGTTCCCAATTATGACATTAATAAATCATAGAAAGATCTTCACCGCATTAAAACAAAGCAAAAACAACCCCAAAGAAGTCGTTATGATTACATGCTGTACTCTGTCTCAATAATGAAAGACATTAGTGTGTATTTTTAAAAACTTTTTGTTGAGATACAGTTGCAATAAATTGTCAATATACTACATCATACATTACTTATTCAAGTTTAGGTTAATATTCTAAGAACCTAGCTAAAGATTCTAGCTTGCTGGTTGGCATGCCCTCCTTTTCTGAGTATACAAAAAAGATTATAATTTTTAAATATCAGTCGTCTTTTAAACAGTTCTCTTGTGTCTGCGCTTGGTGTGAAAACTTTTCCATTACAAGGATAGGCCATATTTTTATACTGTAATTTCATTGGAGGAGTCAATTTTTCTAAGAATGTGCAATACAAATTATAGCTGTGAACAGTGAAAAAGACATTGATTTGTCATCCTGTTTAAAATGTAGATCCTTTACTAGAGCATTAAGTAAGCAGGGCAGAGGATCTCATTTCATTAAAAACTGGTCTGATCTCAGTACACATCTTGCCATTTAGGAGCTAGTGATGGAATTATTAAATAGACTGTATCCTGTTTCTCTTCAATGGCAGCCCATTTATCTTTGGCTGCAGAGTGGCCAGTTTACATGCTTCTGCCTCTTGCCTTTTTGTCTTACGTGGAACAAAAATCTCGAGCCTTACAGTCAAAATGTGCATTTGGGCTAACTAAGATCTTGAGTAGCTAAAGACTGGCACTAAGAGTTGCCACACTCGCTTTAAATTCAGTTCTGAAAATGATTTCAAAGTTTTTGAAAGGACAACTTTTATATTTGTGTTCTTAACTATGCACTCTCAAAATCTAGACCTATTTTCCTTCCCTTTCATTTTTTAAAGTAGAGGGTTTCAGACTGCCAATTGCTACGACCCTAGGTCAGTGAAATGAAAATACTCGTTGAATCTCTAAAATCCAAGACTCTCTAGTCCGACAACATCCTTGATTGGCCAGGACTGGGCCAGTGTAGCTGGGAGCAGAGCCCAGTGGCCAGAGTTAGCACCCAGGAACAGGGCCAAAGTAGGGCTGATGGCCAGGAGAGGAGCCTTCATCTCCCCAGGTCCAGCACACTTCTTTGTTTGGGACCACTCAGATCTTGAGAGTGCCAAACCAGGGAGATCCAACCTGTATTACATTTGCAGGTAGAATGGATGGTGTGGAAAGAAAGCATAGTGGGACTTCTCTGGTTCATCAGGACTGAATGAGACTGTTTGTTGGTTCATGCCAACTGAACTCAAACTCTGAACCCTTTGGATATCTCCCATCACTAGTACACACGTACTAGTTAAACTCTCAATCACTGGTTTTATAGTAAGGTACAGAACCCTAACACAGTAGGGGATCTACCTTTGGTTACTCAAAAGGCGTAAAAATGACAGATGAGTTTGTTTTTCGTACATGTAAAATCACATTGAGTAGTTATGTGGGCTTCTTCAATGCATCAATACAAATATTTTGCAAAGATGTCCTTTCACACTCTGGGCCAGAACCTCAACTAGTATAGTTCTGGCAATGTGAATGGAGTTATGCTAATTGATATCAACTGAAGACCTAGCTCTCTGTTCTTAAAATACTGTGGAGTCCTGATTATCTAGTTATGAGTTTAGATTTAAGCTCCTGGTAAAACTTGGTTGAAGAATTAGAAGCATCGGAAACTATACATATAAACGTGGCAGAGAATTAATATACTGTAAATATTTGGAGGGGAATTTTTATGCTAGGAGCGTTGCTTCATTTTGCAGTTTAGGTGCCAGAACCACTTAGTTCTGATTTGCGGTTCTCTTGCTCGTACCAATGAGAAGAGGACACTTATGCTTATGACAGCATGTGTTAATTTATAAGATGTAGCTGCTTCTTAAATATGTAGCTATTACGGCGCACTTAACACTGTCCCAGAATTTATTGCTTCAGATAGATGTAGTCAGTTTTCCCTGTTTTCTTTCCTGATTATTACATACAGTCATGTATGCCAAGATCATTTGTGTGTCTCAAATAATTTCTGTTGTACATGTAACTAAAGCCAAGTATCAAATCCTTCTGCAACTTTCATTTTGTCCATATTTCTAGTTGCTTTACATGACTTCTTTCAGTTTTCTTGATATTCTTTCCACTCTGATTTCTGGAATTTATATAAAACCACGGAGGGTTTTTACTCTTGAACTGAAGACCATTTGGCTTGTGAAGTTTCCTTTAACTGGAAGTATGTCTGGATTTATGGCTTTCTTTTTTGCAGTTTTATATCAGCCAGTTTGTTGGGTTTTTTTTTAAACATAGTGAATGCACAGTTAATCATTGGATTCGTATATACATTTCACTCCTTTTAATAATCTTTTTTCATAGTTGAAAGAGACAAAGACTTTTCTCATCAAAGAAGGCACTACAAAGAGTTTCGATTTGACTTGACTCAAATCCCACATGGAGAAGCAGTGACAGCAGCTGAGTTCCGGATTTACAAGGACCGAAGCTACAATCGGTTTGAGAATGAAACCATTAAGATTAGCATATATCAGATCATCAAAGAATACCCAAACAGGTACTATTTTTTTTTAAAGTCCTCATGTTAGCATTTTCTCAGGTGTACATCTTTCTCCATCTGCAAGATATTGTTGCTGTCATTTAATTTAACAGGCCATTAATTTCTGGGAAACAGAATTCAACTAAAAAAAATCTTCAGTGCCAGCAGAATTAAGTTTTTTCAGCTTGATTACCTAATATATGCACACATAAACTCACATGCCCTCCATGTTTCAGCATGCGCATAGGTTAGCTGTTCTAGATAAGCAAATGTCAGAATCTAATGCCCATATTAAGGGGCCAGTGTTAAAACATATAACCTTTATTGCCATATGGATACCAGAAGGCAAGTCTCATCTAACTACTATATGCTGTGTACTTCAGTTTCATTTATTTTGTCAGAGCAAGAGCTGTATTGATATATTTTTTAAAAAATATGTATTTATCAAATACTGCCAAGGGCTGGTATGTGTGTGAGTGAGTTAGGCACTGTAGTTGTGGCTGCGTCAGTCCCAGGATATTAGGGTATGTCTACACATCACAGTTAATTCGAAATAACAGCCATTATTTTGAATTAACTTTACTAGCGTCTATACAGGCAAACCGCTATTTCGAAATAAAATCAAAATAGCGGGGCGCTTAATTCAAATTAGTTAAACCTCATTCTGTGAGGAATAACGCCAAATTCGAAATGGCTAATTCGAAATAAGCGCTGTGTAGATGCTTATTTCGAAATAGGGGGCCTCCAGCCCTTCCAAGGGAACCCTGGTGGCCACTCTGGGCCAAACCAGGAAAACTTCTCTCTCTTCTTCCCCAACCCCGGAGCCCTTAAAGGGGTAGACTCTGGCCACACTGCATGGGCCAGCTACATGCCTGCAAGCACAGAGCCAGCAGTCACTGACCCTGACACAGTGGCCCAAGATGAGCTGGGCAGCCAGATCCAGCCAGTCCTCCCCCGCACAGTCCCCCAGCTCCCAAGAGTCAGCCAGGGGCCGGAGAAGGTGGGCGCCATTCTGGACTAGTGCGGAGATCATGGACCTCATTGAGGTTTGGGGGGAGGCCTCCACCATCCATGATCTCTGCACTAGACGGAGGAATGCGGCCGTCTACAGCCACATAGCTGCCACCCTGGCCACTAAAGGCCACATGCACACCCAAGAACAGGTGCGCATGAAAATTAAAGAATTGAGGCAGGGATATGCAGGACCACACAGGGCAGCTCCCCAAGAGGGGCACTCACCTGCCCCTATTTCGAGGCCCTGGACCACATCCTGGGGAGGTGAGACGGTCCATGCCAGCCCAGGGGGCAGCGAGCCGAGAGCAGAGTGCCCTGACCAGGACATGGAGGAGGAGCCGCCAAGGAGGGAGCCACGGAAGGTGCCATGCTGGCCGGACCCCCGAGCTGTTCCAGCAGTGGAGTCACCAGGGTCGTCCAGGGAGGCCACACCATGTAAGTGCCATCACTGTCCCCTTCCCAGTGGAGTAGGGAGGGAGACCAGGAACCGCGCGCATGGGCCTTGCTTACCATGGATCACATAGCAACCTGTGCACATGCGAGCATGTGCCATGCCACACAGGGGCCGTGGCCTGATAGCCACACACATGTGTGAAGAGACCTGACAATGCTCCTGACCCCGGGATGGAACACAGCAGGACGCCCTCCCTTCACAAGCCCCCTCTACACAGAAGTATGGGACATCCCCCCACACACACCTCGGCTGCGCTATACACAGCACAGAGGCATGGGTGTGGTCTTGGGGCAGCTCCCACTCCCATGGATAGCCGGACAATCCAACCATGGCCTCTATGCAAGCACAACGGCTCTGACGGTGCAGGGCACGGTCATCTTCACCTTGCAGAGTGGGGCTGGGCGAGGGAGAATTGACCACTTCTCTTCTTTCACCACAGCCGCACCAGATGTGTGTGCAGGGAGCACCACTCTTCCCGGGACATCCTCCCACACCCAAAGGCTCATCAGGTCCACTGCAACACTGCAGGGGTACCGAGACCAGCAGCTGGAGGCCCTGTGAGCCCTGCACCGCACCATAGAGCAGTGGGTGCAGGACAAACCGGAGTTCTGGCAGGAGCTGCTTCCCCAGGGTCGTGCCATATGTGACCACCTGCACACCCTGGTGCAGAGCGTTCTGCCTCGTGCCACTCCAGCACCTGCTGCCTCCCCAGTGCCCACTCCTCCTCCCACTCCTTCTCCCCCTCCCACCACTCCCTCCTCAACCTCCACACCCTCCTTCCCATCCCCCCGGGGATGCCGAGGCCCCCGCACCCGCTGTGCTGGAAGACAGTTGGCCCAGCGAGACCTCCACCCCTGAGCCCTGAGCTTCCCCTCCCCCTTCTTCCCCTTGCTTCCCCCTTCCAGCTCCCTCCTCCCAGTTTTCCCCCTCCCCTCTCCCACCCTCTCTCTTCCCCTCTCCCGCCTCCTTTCCCCAGTCTCCCCATAGTTTCATTCCCTCCCCCCTCCTCCCAGTTTTCCCCCTCCCCTCTCCCACCCTCTCTCTTCCCCTCTCCCGCCTCCTTTCCCCAGTCTCCCCATAGTTTCATTCGCTCCCCCCCCCCCAGTTTTGTTAAATAAAGAGAGTTGATATTTTTGAAAATACGTCTATTTTATTTGACATTAGGAAGGGGGGCTAGGGAAGGGTACATGGAAGGACATGAGGGAGGAATGAGCCACAACCCCCAGTGGGCAGACCAGGGAGGCTCTGAGTGCTCTCCCACAGGGCCTCCTGGATACTGACAGCCCCTGATGGACCTCCCGGATGGCAGCCTGCAGCAAGTGCAGCCAGGCTGATAGCAATGCGTCCACGAGAAGCACCAGAGTGCTCAGGGGCAGCTCTGGCTCCATGTTGTAGAGTGCTGTGGTGTCCCGAGTGAGGGCAACCAGAGCACGCAGAGACAAAATGCTTTGATGTTCTTCATCGAGGTAGACAAGCAAGGAGGGAAAGCTGAAAACTGGCTATCTGGGGGAGGGGCAGAGAGGGAGTCCCTTTAAGCACGGACCTCAGATAGCCTCAGGCAGCAGCCCCACACAGTAAGTCCTGATCTGGTGTCCTGCCGGAACTGGTTCCGGCCAGCCTTAAATGTGATTCAGAGTCCACTCAGTGTGGATGCACTATTTCAAAATAGCAAAATGCTATTTCGAACTGCATTTTGTGTGTAGACACATTATTTCGAATTAAGTTAGATAAGATATTTCGAAATAACACTGTTGTGTAGACATACCCTCCAAGAGACAAGAAGCAATGGGCTTAAATTGCAGTAAGGGTGGTTTAGGTTAGACATTAGGAAAAACTTCCTAATAGTCAGGGGGGTGGTTAAACACTGGAATAAATTGCCCAGGGAGGTTGTAGAATGAACGTCATTGGAGATTTTTAAAGAGCGTTTTTGACAAAAACTTGTCAGGGATGGTCTAGATGGTGTGGTCCTCCCAAAAATGCAGCAGTCTGGACTTGATGACCTCTGGGGTGCTTGATAAATGCTTCTGGAAAGTACCTCTTTCCACCATTTGGCCCACCAAAGCCCAAATTTGCTAACTTTTGGGTCACCAGCAAAGACTATGTGTACTCCCAGACTTTCTCTGGCTTTTTGGCCACACAGGTACATGAAGTACACTTGGGTTTTGGCTGTAACAGCTTGTGACAAGGTGCATGGGCCAACATGGGTGTGGAAAGGGCCAGAGGAGCACTAGTGAAAGCTCCACTCCTTTTGCCTCTTATCAGTTATGCAGGAGAAGGCCTTTAAAAGGAAGGAGGCTGGAGCCAATTGGGAGGAAAGGAGCAGGATTGCCCTAAGCAGCACACTGCAGTAATAACTCTTGAAGGCATGGAGGGACCTTTTAGGCAGGAAACCTTTGTACTGACCCTAAGGAGAGTATAGTGAACAGGTTGAGCTGATCTCCGAGACCTGGATAGAGTGATTTCACCAAACCCTTTGCCTGAGTCTGAATGGTTGGCAACACTATCAACTCACCACTGGCCCTGCCCTTTTCTGAGAATTCAGGAAGGCAATATCACTGATGGGAGGGGGGATTTAGAATCATAGAATCATAGAATCATAGAATAATAGGACTGGAAGGGACCTCGAAGAACTTTTCTTTATGCACCCTCTCCACGCCACTCATGCTTTTCATAGAATCATAGAATAATAGGACTGGAAGGGACCTCAAGAGGTCATCGAGTCCAGCCCCCCGCCCTCAAGGCAGGATCAAGCTCTGTCTACACCATCCCTGACAGATGTCTATCTAACCTGTTCTTAAATATCTCCAGAGAGGGAGATTCCACCACCTCCCTTGGCAATTTATTCCAATATTTGACCACCCTGACAGTTAGGAATTTTTTCCTAATGTCCAATCTAAACCTCCCCTGCTGCACTTTAAGCCCATTACTCCTTGTCCTGTCCTCAGAAACCAAGAGGAACAAATTTTCTCCTTCCTCCTTGTGACACCCTTTTAGATATTTGAAAACCGCTATCATGTCCCCCCTTAATCTTCTTTTTTCCAAACTAAACAAGCCCAGTTCATGAAGCCTGGCTTCATAGGTCATGTTCTCTAAACCTTTAATCATTCTTGTTGCTCTTCTCTGTACCCTTTCCAATTTCTCCACATCTTTCTTGAAATGTGGCGCCCAGAACTGGACACAGTACTCCAGCTGAGGCCTAACTAGTGCAGAGTAGAGCGGCAGAATGACTTCACGAGTTTTGCTTACAACACACCTGTTGATACAACCTAGAATCATATTTGCTTTTTTTGCAACAGCATCACACTGTTGACTCATATTCAACTTGTGGTCCACTATGACCCCTAGATCCCTTTCTGCCATGCTCCTTCCTAGACAGTCGCTTCCCATCTTGTATGTATGGAACTGATTGTTCCTTCCTAAGTGGAGCACTTTGCATTTCTCTTTATTAAACCTCATCCTGTTTACCTCTGACCATTTCTCTAACTTGCTAAGGTCATTTTGAATTATGTCCCTATCCTCCAAAGAAGTTGCAACCCCACCCAGTTTGGTA